GGATATGATATTCTGACGATGTTGGGAAGGGTCACGGGGTGTGATTTGGAGAAGGAAGCTTAGCAACATACATCCATCTATTTTCTGCACCTGCTTTTCTAATTCAGCCAATCCCAGGGGGTGTGGGCACAAGGCAGGGAAAAACCCAGGATGGGGCACCAACCCATTGCAGGGCACACTCACACACCATTCACACCTATGGGCAACTTGACAACTAGTCTTCACCTTTGCGTGTTTTTGCACTGTGGGGGGAAGCCAGTGAACCCAGAGGAAATCCCACACTGAGAGGGGGAGAACCTGCAAGTTCCAGACACACAGAGCCAGGGCCACCGAGAGGGGGAGAACCTGCAAGTTCCAGACACACAGAGCCAGGGCCATCGAGAGGGGGAGAACCTGTTCCAGACACACAGAGCCAGGGCCATCGAGAGGGGGAGAACCTGAAAGTTCCAGACACACAGAGCCAGGGCCATCGAGAGGGGGAGAACCCGTTCTAGACACACAGAGCCAGGGCCATCGAGAGGGGGAGAACCTGCAAGTTCCAGACACACAGAGTCAGGGCTATCGAGAGGGGGAGAACCTGCAAGTTCCAGACACACAGAGCCAGGGCCACCGAGAGGAGGAGAACCTGCAAGTTCCAGAGACACAGAGCCAGGGTGGAGACTCAAACCCCGATCACAGAGGTGCAACACAACAATACGTCACCCCATACATGGCCTGTATCACCGCCCTGCAAACTGGATTTTTTTGCATTATTTTGTTAGCTTTGCTACAGTAAATATTGCTAGTGCACAGCTAACATCAGTAGGTTAGATATCCATTAAATGAAACTACGACACAATACAACAGACAGGTTTGTATGTACTTTCCTGACCTGAAGATGGCGCTACATGCTTGGATAGTCTGCACAAATAACATAAACTTAAAAAAGGGAGTCTGGCAAACAGAGGAAGGAGAGTTTCCTGTGGAGATCAGCAGTTTGTTTTTCTTTGTTTTAATTAGTAACAAAAAGTACTGCATGCATTTCACAGAGGACTTGCTGGTCCGTGCAGAAAGCAGAAGTCAACACTATTAAGAAAACGGCACATGGAACTGAAATCTCAGTCTCTGAACTAGAACAATCTCTGCCTCAGCGTCTTTCTACCTGTCACTATAACTCTGTCTCTCTTTCTGCCTTTGTGTCTCTCTCCTTCACAGTGCAGAATCTGACTGTCATCTGCAGGGGATTTGTCTACTAAGCTAATTTCAGAGTGTTGGCCATTTCTTACGATACCTTCCCGGAGTGTGACATGTCCTCCAGACCAACTATCTATTGGATATTCTACTCTTTACACATCATTCGACTTAAATATAAGCAGTATCTCTTGTAATATCAGCTTCAGTCAAGCCTTGGTGGAGCTCAGGTTTATAACAGAAACAAGCCTTTTAGGTAAATATATGGGGCAGGATGGGACTTGATTAAAGTATTTTAAAATTACAGCCACTTTTTTAAAGTGTAGATTACATTACCTTAATTTATTTAAAGAAGAAGTTTTTTATTTGCCGTTTGTAGGAGAACAGGTACGTTGGAATGTGTTGGAATATCCCATCTTGCTCTGCTTTTTTTTTTTTAAAGAAAAACACATGTAAAGCTGAGAGTGAAGCTTGGGCTTTAGCACTTTGTGTTTTTTACTCAAAACAATGTACATCTGAGAAAGCAGAGTCCGACAGTCCTGGGAGCACTTGGGGCTAAGGGCCTTGCTCAAGGGCCCAAACGTAAAAGCGCTCTGGTGGCCACAGGATGTGAAGTGGAAGCCTTACAATCACAGGTACTAATCGACAGAGCCATACACCACCCCCCTAGGTCATTATAAATGCAAAATAACAAGGGTCCATTTGTATCATAAGTGACTTGTCCTGTGGAGGCTTGTTGAGCTTTTTGATGGGAAAAGAGGGCTTTTGATCCAGTTGTTGAAACACAAACCTCTTTGACTGGGTAATTAAAGAGTTGGTTGTTGAAAAAAAAATCCTGAATTTAGAAAACCACAGTGACAGACAACAAATTGTAGAACCACAACCTGGAAACAACAATGAAAATAATGGAATGAAATTAAAACTTGCTGTGACGGACAGTCATTGGTGAGTCACAGTGGCAAACATTAGCATGTTGTGATGTAGCCTAATGTAGATGTAACATGAAAGAAATCCAACCCTCTATTAGTTCTCTGTACCTGCTTGTCCTATTCAGGGTCACAGGGGTCCGGAGCCTATCCCGGAAGGGGTGCAGAGCCTATCCAGGAAGGGGTGCGAAGGATATCCCAGAAGGGATGTGGAGCCTATCCCGGAAGGGGTGCAGAGCCTATCCCGGAAGGGGTGCGAAGGATATCCCAGAAGGGATGCGGAGCCTATCCCAGAAGGGGTCTGGAGCCTATCCCGGAAGGGGTGCAGAGCCTATCCTGGAAGGGGTGTGAAGGATATCCCAGAAGTGGTGTGGAGCCTATCCCAGAAGGGGTCCGGAGCCTATCCCGGAAGGGGTGCGGAGCCTATCCTGGAAGGGGTGCAGAGCCTATCCCGGAAGGGGTGTGAAGGATATCCCAGAAGGGGTGCGGAGCCTATCCCAGAAGGGGTCCGGAGCCTATCCCGGAAGGGGTGCAGAGCCTATCCCAGAAGGGGTGTGAAGGATATCCCAGAAGGGGTGCGGAGGATATCCCAGAAGGGGTGCGGAGCCTATCCCAGAAGGGGTGTGAAGGATATCCCAGAAGGGGTGCGGAGGATATCCCGGAAGGGGTCCGGAGCCTATCCCGGAAGGGGTGCAGAGCCTATCCTGTAAGGGGTGTGAAGGATATCCCAGAAGGGGTGTGGAGCCTATCCCAAAAGGGGTCCGGAGCCTATCCCGGAAGGGGTGCGGAGCCTATCCCGGAAGGGGTGCGGAGCCTATCCCGGAAGGGGTGTGAAGGATATCCCAGAAGGGGTGCGGAAACTATCCCGGAAGGGGTCCGGAGCCTATCCCGGAAGGGGTGCAGAGGATATCCCGGAAGGGGTCCGGCACCTATCCCGGAAGGGATGCGGAGGATATCCCGGAAGGGGTGCGGATGATATCCAGAAAGGGTCCGGCGCCTATCCCGGAAGGAGTGCGGAGGATATCCCGGAAGGGGTCCGGTGCCTATCCCGGAAGCGGTGCGGAGGATATCCTGGAAGGGGTCTGGAGCCTATCCCGGAAGCGGTGCGGAGGATATCCCAGAAGGGGTATGGTGCCTATCCCAGAATTTACGGTCACAAGGGAACAATCCGGGATGGGGCATACACACCATTCACACCTTAGCATGTTTTTGGAATGTGGGGGGAAACCAGAGAACCCGTATGAGGCAACAATGCTGATCACTGCACTACCATATCAACCCCTAAATGAAGAAAATTGATAATATAAATACACTTCAATTTACTATTTTTATGTAAAAGTGTTATATAGTACAGGAGGGAGTTCGACAATGGATGTAATTCTGAAAATGTTAAATTATAACACATGTGATTTATCCATCAAATCAGTACTGTTATATTTATCAGCTCTTAATGTTTTAGTAAAATGTTCTTTTTTTTAAATTCTGATGTATAAAGTATGTGTTACATCAATATTTGTATATATTAATTAATTAATTTAGTTAAATGACATTATTTGGCTTTGGTTTGAGTTTGCATACCAGGGGTTCGGAACCATGGTGATGACGGATCAGGAAATGAGAATTCATAAGTTATTAAAACCATTTTCAGCTCCATGAACTCGCAGGCTAAAATCCAGTTAGGCCATCAAATCTAAAAGCAACAGGCAATAATATTTCTTTCTACAGCCTGTGATTCATTTTCAGAACAGACTTAGGGGGTAAGGGGTTACTATATCAAACAGACAATCCATTTCACAAGGGGTATTAAAGAGTAGTGGTGGCCAGAGACCAACCCATAGTTCATTTACCATGCTGAGGTTTCAACATTCTCTGAAGCCAAAGCATTCCTACTGGCCCTCAGAGGAAGATGCATGCAAACATAACTGGAGCATTACATAATCCGAAGGGCATGACAGTGAACTGCTGAAAATCACAATCTGTGTCAAAGGACCACTTTAAGTGCTGTTAAAATAGTTTGTAGTTTAATTTAACCTCAGCTAGGTCAATAGAGCCGAAAATGTTTTTAAAACCCTCCAAGGTATAAGACAGTGTATATATTCTCAGCCACGGTCCAGTCATTGTCGCAGATTCCAACCTTCCGCGGGTAGGTATTGCATTTGTCTTTCTTATCTGCCCTGGCTATTTTAACCTTTGGAGGTTCACATGTGACTGAGGGACGGATGAGCACGGGCAAAGAATGCCAAGCATGTGGAGAATCTGAGCATTCCCATCGGAGCGCTGGCTTCCTGGCATTCTTCAGCTCACAGCACTGGGCCAATGGTGCTGGGGTTAGCAAGAGGCATCGTATTTTAATTCACTCCACAGACATCGGATTGTAGATCTTAACTTAAATGAAAGGGAGTGCTTAGTCTTCTGAAAGGTATGCCATCTTTGCTGTAGTCTTGCAGCATTTGAATAGTTAACTAGTACTTTTTGAATATTTCCAGCAATATTGAATGTCAGTGTCTGGAATCTTAAATTAAGTGCTGGAGGAGGGAAAGCATTCATAACTCCAAGCAGTGCTGGTGAAAAAAACAGTACCACACATATTATTTGGGAAATGAACAGCAAAATGAATTCCTGCTGTGGGCTGCAGCTTCAGTCACTTTGCTGCACTCAGATCAGATTTACAGCATGTTTCAGTATCTGCTCTATATCCCAAGTGGCGCCGTGCACGCTGAAATCAGAAAGCAGCGCTATGCCGTAAATATCCGTGCTGGCCATCCAACGTGCTGTTTGTTGATGCGGTTTCCATGGGGAGAGGCGAGAGTGTGTCACACAGCAGCAGAGGCGGCAGCTGGAGAGGGCTTCCTGTACTGACCGTCTCCACAAAATGGCCGCGACAGGCACCGGAGGACACGAGGAGAATCTCTAACTGCCGGTGACAGCCAGGCTTTTGACACGCTGCCAGAAAGACACAACATGTCTATTTGGAAACCAGCCTACCATGAACAACCCTTGTAATGTTTTAAAGATGCAAAGCAACTTTCTCAGGGTGAAACCGACAAGTTACTTCAGAAACGGGCTGCCTGCCGCGTTGATGGGGTGGGCGTAGAGACTCAGTGGGTAGCACTGTTGCCCTGCAACTCCACCTTTACTCTTTGAGTCCTGCCTCTGCTCTCTGTGAATGTGTGGATTTTGTAAGATCTCCCTGTATTGTGTGCGATGCATCCAGATACTCAAGTTTCTTCCTGTATTCTGAAGGTGTCTCTAAATTGGAAGTGTCCTGCAATGGATTGATGTCCCATCCAGGATATAATCCTGTCTTGTGTCCTATAATTGCCAGGACGGGATCCAGGTTTCTGCAACCCTATACTAGGTAAGTGGTTGAAAGTTGGATGGATGCCAAGTTGCTTTGTAAATAACAAACAACATTATAGCTACCTAATGCATTAGTGGCTTTTGATTGTAGAAGCCATTTTATACAATAACGCATTATCCTTTTTATAGGAATACTGGGTACTGGCTCTGAACATGAACCTGAATAAAAGCAAGATGTGATTATATTATGGGCAATGTGCTTCTTTTTATTTCAGAAACACGGGACTCTGGAGCAGGCCACCGAATGACAAATGGAGAAGCGGACAAGGCTCTGCGAGGGAGACAGGTCGATAGGCTGCCGGCGTACATGGTCCCGCACCACGTGTATTTGCTGGGCAGGGAGCTTGGCCATCGTCCAGGCACATCTGTACGCAATCCCACAGCGCTGGCAGTTCAGCTGCAGAGGCCGAGTGGTTGGGGAGGGAGAGGGGCACTTTCTCAGACCACAAGAACCTGCTTTTTCTGCTCCCCAGACGGTCCTGGGCCGGCAGCCCAAAGACGTAATCCTGGCAGGGCAGTGGCCCGGCGAAACCAGTCAAGAACGGTGGTGGTGGGGGGGGG